ATTGCTCAGGAGAAGCCTTTCTAGCTCGACCTCTGGCTGGTGCCACTCTACGGGCATGACCTCTAGACGGTGCTACTCCACTAGCTCGGGCCCTACCCCTACCCCTAGTTGGGGTCTCAGCAACTACCTCGGGGACTGCCTTTCTTCTACCACTAGAAACAGACGCTCTGGTCCTCGACATCTACCAAAATAACACGCAGCAACTCAACACTAGTGAAGGTAACCACGCACGATAAGAAAAGATGAATAAAAGGAAATTTCCTAACAATCTTTGTAGTCTCTTGAAGATAAGTACATATCTCTCCTTATTTATCCTCAAGACTGTACTTAGACTTGGCTTATACACATGTGAGACCTATGAACCTGACGCTCTGTTACCATTTGTCACGACCCTAAAATGAACGTGACGACACTTGTCTCTTTTCACCAAGACAAGTCAGCCTCAACCCAACGAAAACGAAAGAAATGCAAAAAATGTAAATCAAGAAGAAGACAAAGGTGAAAAACATATTCATTCTAAATAATACCCAAAAACCTGGTTGTCACGTGTATAATCCACTGATGAAAATGGAAGATTTAAAAGATTAACACAAGTCTAGGTCTTTGTTTCTCAAGTAGAACAAAACTTAATGAAAAGGAAAAGAGGGTCCATCAGGATTACAAGCAACTACCTCTCAAGTCCTTCAGCAAGCCTCGACAGTCAGGAGAAGAAGAAGAAGATCACACAGGTTCGGGCTCGGAACCTACACAAGTGTATAAGAAACTAGCTAAAAATTGAATACCCTTTACACTCCAACCGAACCTCCCCAAATTACAAATTGCACATAAATCAGCCCAATTTAGAAATTCTACAATGCACGGCTCACAAGGCCCAACATCCACATTTCAAAAGTTACAATCACAAATTGAGCGAATCATGTATGTCATTCTCAAAGTCAAGTAGTCCCGTCACACACAACAAGTACATAAACCTCAAGTAACAAGCAAGTCACACATAAGCATCAAATGTATCAAGTCATAATAATCAATCTCTTGCTGGAACCATTTTCAATCGGCACAATATCATTAGCCGGAACCATTTCCTATTGGCTTTATTTCAACTCACTAGATAGAATCATCTCCTATTGGCTCTATGTGAAATCACTAGTCGAAATCATTTCTCATCGACTTTATATCAAATCACTAGCCGAAACCATTTGCCATCGGCATTATATCAATTCACTAGCCGGAACCATTTTCCATTGGCTTTATAAATCATCACATGTCTCATCATTGTGTTCACAATCAATGCACACAAGCAATAACACACCACATGGAAGAGACAACAGATCATACAATTCAAGTCCACAGTCATGCTTTCAAGCATTTCATCAATTGATCAACAAAGGTCCTAATAAGGAAAATCATATCATCATGTTCATCACATAGCCTCTTTCATTTCAACCCCTTTTTATTTATTTAGATATAACAAGAGGAAAATTTAAACCCTTCACCTCATCCCCATTGCTCCCAACACACAAGCAGCGAAGGATGTACACGAATTCTACTAGAAAATGATGTTTAGGAAGCCACTTACCTTAAATCAATCAACACTGACTCCAGGAGTTGAGTTCTCCCTTTTAAGTTACTTCTGAAGTCACACAATCTATAATGATCAAGTATTTACAATCATTCATCGGAGACAACAATTTCCACATCAATTATGTAAAGAAATGGGTCAATCAACTCAAAACCCAAATTTTAAAATGGAGTTTTGAATCCGAAAAACAATATATGAAAATGATGTTTAAAGCTTTAGGAATCATTAGAGAAAACCATTTCAAAAAAGAGATCAAAACCACTTGATCAAAATCACTATTTTACTAAATTCTTGGGTTTTTGAAGATAACCTCAAATTTCTCCTTTCAAAAGCTTGATTTGAACACATAAATCCCTAAATAATAATGGGTAATTGAAGATTTAGAGTTAAGAATCGTTATCCAAAAAATTTCCCTCGATATCTGGTCTAAATCGCCACCCAAAGCTCCCAAAACTCAAAAATGATGAAATCTGCTGAAAATGCGAGTGTTGCTTAAGCGAAGGCTTTTCGCAAGTGCAAAGGTCAACAGGGGTTCGCAAAAGCGAAACAAACTTCGCTAAAGCGAGCCATTCCTCACAAAAGCAAATGCACCAGAACACAGACATCAGAAAATCAATCAACACTCTAAACATCGAAAGGACCCTCAGGATTCATTCGGAACCCCGTCCACACAAACCACATATGCAAATCAATCATACTCGACGTTCCGGACTCAATGGAACTGTCAAAACACGAACTCGAGGTCTCCTTGACCCGACATGTGTGAAAACTACAAGATGTTAAGGGCCTATTTGGCCATGCGATATGGAATCATGATATAGTATCATGATATGGAATCATGAGATTAAATTGAACTCAACGCCTAAAAATGCTAAAACAAGCTCGGGACCTCTCAAAAAATAATCAAGACCTCCCCTAGGCCTAAATTCATCCCCCGAATCCAATGAAATGCTCAGAAAATCGGTCCGAGCATCCGAACCCTAAAAGTTGATCAAAGTCAACCCAAAGACTAAATTTCCATAATTTCACAACTTAGGACCTCAAATTCTCAAAAAGACTCGGAATCTAAAACCGACAACTCTTACGGATCAGATTTCACCTTTCGGAATTGGTGTAATCGATGGATTTCCATTCCGACACTTCAAACTCCAAAAGACACCGAAAATCACTTTCTTAACAACCTACCCTATCAAACATCAAGACTTACCAAATTCTCAACTTGTAACTCAAAGTTCAAAACCAACTTTTTAACTCAAACATAGAAGACTCGGGTTCAATCACGGGAGGGCAAAACGGTAATTTCCATAGGAAAACGAAAAATGACCAACCAAGTCATTATTACCATATCAAACAAAATTCCATATAATTCAGCTTGTCCCTTTTACACAAGTATAGCATTGATAACGTGTCTTGTTGATCTTTCTAATAAAAAGCACGAGAACCCCCTTAAGTTCAACTATATTTACAGTAACTGCATTTTTGTATGAAAAGTGAATTTTGGTTGCATATAGCAAGATTTTATGTCATTTAGGATAGGTAATTAACAAACATTTTATTTTCAATGCGGTCCATATGCTTGGTTTTTAGTTCAAAAACACCTTTTAATGGTACATACACACTAATGACATGGTCTAAATATGAACATAGAATATCATATAGAGGAGTTTTCATTAATTAAAGATACGTTCAGACTTCCTTTTAAGTGCATGAGAAATTAAAGAGAATGACTTTGGCAGCTAATTATAACATTCAGGAGCGGACCTACGTTGATCTTAGGGGGTTCACCCGAACCCCCTCGTCAAAAAATTACACTGTATATATAAAGAAAACTTCTGATTTTAAGCGTATAGATACTAAAATGAACCCCCTCAACAACCAAAAGAGGAGCATGGCTCACTGGTAAGTGGGTTCATTTCTAAACCGCAGGTTCCGAGTTCGATTCTCGGTGAGTGCAATGAGTTTTAACTTCTTTTATTGCTTTGAAAAGGCTGAGATGGGCTCAGTTTTGGGCTTAAAATACCCAATAAAAGGCCTCATTATTTTTTAATTCAATCTAAAACTATATTATTTTTATTTATTTTTAAAATTTTTCTTTTTAGATTATCTCTTTGTCTCACTTTATCTTTGTTTAAA